TGTAGCTTCAGAGTTTGGACAACCTAGGAACTTGACCGTCACTCAGCCTGTCAAGACCTGCCCCAAGCCAACCAGGCCTATGTAGGACAGTGCGGGTGCCAATAGCATACAGTGGGTTGTACATACGCACCGCAGCCGCCGCTCTGCTATGCGCCGGGGCTAACGTGTCTGGTGCAACTGTCACATTGGTTGGGCTCCTTTGGCTGCCTTTGTTCCTTTGCCGTGACTTCGACCATCTATAGCTAGTGGTTCCCCCCCAATATTTGGGTTGGTTCTTGACGAAAAGATTCCGTTGGACTGGATTCTATGTCAAATGGGAACATTCAACTTTGACCTCTCCACGGCCTCGCGGCTGCGTCATAAAGCCGCCAGTCACCACCTGCGTCGTCATCCTCACCGTTGCACTTTTATAAGCAGGGATCTGGAGCTCTGGCAAGTGGACCCCGCTTTGTGTCTGGGCAAGTGGCACATCAACCGTCAACACATACCGTACTCCGACCTCACAAGTGCTACGGCTCTGTATCACGACCGATCTCGCATTCAGCCGGTAAAGAGGGGCGAAACACAACATCTTAAATAGACAATATCCCATCCGGCTTTCCCTGCAAAAACTTCCGCGCTCCTCCGCGCTCGCTGCGTTCCTCGCCCTACCACACCACGAGCTTGGCTGGCCGCATAACGGGCGACCTGCCGACCTTCCAGCTCCCTGCCACACTCCAGCCCAACCGTTATCGAATACGATCTTGCATACAAGCCTGGTGAGGCAGGTTGCTGCCGTAGCTACTCCTGTAGCTTCTGCTACTTTTGCATCGGTCGTGGCTCGAGCTATCGTTTCTGCATAGCTTTTGCGGCGTCGGGACAGCAATCCGCACGTGAAAATAGACGATTGACTGTCATCTGGATACCAGTATCATCCACCAGTCCTTGTTGTTTGAGGGTAGCAGCACTTCGTCCTCGACAAGTCGCCTGCCTCCGTACTTGCGTCGCACGTCGCACATTCCACATCCCACGCAGCAAGATGCCGCAATCACCCATGATCTCGGTGCCTCTCAAGGCCACCAATGAGATTGATTGGGTCTCACCTTTGAAAAATTATATACGTCAAAGCTATGGAGACGATCCCGAACGCTATGCTGAAGAATGCGCTATTCTTAATCGCTTGCGACAGGATATGCGAGGCGCTGGAAAGGAGAGCACATCGGGTCGCGATATGCTCTATCGATACTACGGCCAGCTCGAGCTGCTTGATTTGCGGTTTCCTGTTGATGAGCAACATATCAAGATAGCATTTACATGGTAAGAGCTCTTATACAACGCTCGTTCCGCCTTGTGAGAGGACAGGAGCATCAAGCTGATCCAGCGCGACAGGTTCGACGCTTTCACGCACAAGTCAACCACACAATACTCCCTCGCATTCGAGAAAGCTTCTGTCATCTTCAATATTTCCGCCGTCCTATCATGCCATGCAGCATTTCAGAACCGAAGCGAAGACTCACCACTTAAAGTTGCATATCATTCCTTCCAGGCCTCGGCCGGAATGTTCACATATATCAACGACAACTTTCTCCATGCACCATCCTTTGATCTCAGCCGTGAAACCGTCAAGACATTGATACACATCATGCTAGCACAGGCCCAAGAAGTGTTCTTAGAGAAACAGATCGCCGATCACAAGAAGGTTGCCCTGCTTGCCAAGTTAGCTGCCCAATCCGGCTATCTTTATGGGCAAGCCATAGAAGGGGTCCAAGAAAACGTCAACAAGGCTATTTTTGAGAAGGTGTGGCTGACAATGGTCCAGGTATGGTGACTATAGGCTGTTGTGAATATTTCTGTTCCTATTTCTTTGAGACTAATACCACGGTCGATACACAGATCAAAAGCAATCTTCTAAATTCCATGGCCCAATATTATCAGGGCCAGGCAGATGATGAAGCTAAACAGCATGGCAGTGCTGTCGCCAGGTTCGGGGTGGCAGAAAGACTTGCCAAAGAAGCCGAACGACTGTCGCGAAATTTCCCAGCTACGGTGCCAGCCAACTCAAATCTCAGCGCCGAGTGCGGTGGCCTCTTACAAGAGCTGTCAAAGAGACAGCTTTCCAGTGTCCAAGATAGGCTTCGCGAAGCTATAAAAGACAACGACTTCATCTATCACCAGACTGTGCCTGCTGAAGCCAGTCTAGCGGGTATTGCGAAGCTTCCAGCATCAAAACCCATTCCCGTGAGCGAGCTCTATGCTGGCCAGGATATGCAGCGCATTACGGGCCCCGACCTGTTCGCCAAGATTGTACCTATGGCTGTAACTGAATCTGCAAGTCTGTACGACGAAGAAAAGGCTAAACTCATCCGAGCCGAGACTGAGAGGGTTGACACCGCGAATGGAGAAATGGCAGCAAGCCTAGACTACTTGCGTTTGCCAGGAGCACTTCAGGTGCTGAAAGGCGGCTTTGATCAAGACATCATCCCCGACGAAGATTTCCGTCAATGGTGTATCGATGTTGCCGATCATGAAGCGCCTGCTGAGATATTCGAACTTTTGCGGAAAGAAAAGGAGACCATTGTCTCTTTATTAGACAATAGCTCCAAGCAGCTCGATTTGGAGGAGAGTGTCTGTGAGAAGATGCGGTCCAAATATGAAAGCGAGTGGAGCCAACAACCAAGCTCACGATTAACAACAACTTTGAGATCAGACATTCGTAACTACCGTGAAGCCTTAGATGTGGCCATGAGAAGTGACAACCAGCTTGCGGCGAAACTCCGGGAAAACGAAGTTGAATTCGATGAGATGCGACACGCCGCCCAGGAAGGAGATGTTGATCAGCTTTTCCGAAAAGCCGTGACTCAAGCCCGTTCCAAGGGCAGTCATGCGTCAAGTCCCGCTCAGGTCGAACCTAACCTCCTCGACGCTGATTTTGGCGAAAGCGGACCTAGTGTGATGGATCAGGTCAATATGGTTGAGGATATTCTCAAGAAGCTCAACCTCATAAAGCGAGAGCGTAATCAAGTCCTGAAGGATCTCAAGGAGAAGGTGAGCATAAAGCATAGAAATGTGTATTGACAAGGCATTTGACACTTTTCAGGTACACAACGATGATATTTCACAAGTTTTGATTTTGAACAAAAAGTCCATTTCCAACTACGAGACTCAGCTGTTTGAGCAGGAATTGGAGAAATTTAGGCCACACCAGAACCGCTTGTTGCAGGCCAATCATAAGCAATCGCAGCTGATGAAGGAATTGACAGCGACGTTTAACGCTCTGTTGCAGGATAAACGTGTAAGGTCCGAGCAGAGCAAATATGAGGGTATGCAACGACAAAGGTCATCGGTAATCAACAAATACAAGCGAGCATATCAGGAATTTTTGGATTTAGAGGCAGGGCTGCAAAGCGCGAAGAATTGGTATTCAGAAATGCGGGAAACGGTGGAAAGCCTGGAAAAGAACGTGCAGACGTTTGTTCACAACCGGAGAGCAGAGGGCGCGCAGTTACTCGACCGGATGGACCAAGACCGGTCTGCGAGCAAGAGCAGCCAGGCTGAACTCGAGCAAGAACGTCTGCGAGGCTTGATGGAGCGCATGTCTGTGGACCCGGCCAAAGCATCGCCTCAGACATCGACATCTAATCGTCCGACGCCGGCACCGTTATTCCAGCCTGGACAAGGTCCTCGATATCCGCAAAGCAACTTCCAGGGCCAATATCAGGTACCTACTTCACCACCTCCCAACCAAGCAACATATCCAGGGTATTCTAGCCCGCCACCGCAGAGCACGTTCTCGGCGCCGATGGCGTACAATCCGTCTCAATATGGCCGAACTGCAGGACCAACCTCACCACCCCCAAATCAGGCATCGTTTGGCGTGAATATGATGCCACACTCGCCGCCCCCGACTCAAACGTCCTTTGGGCAGACTCACCAACACCAACCACATCAGACGTACGGGAACTACGGGGCATCCCAGACCCAACAACCGGCTGGTTATGTGCCTCCTGGATTTGTGCCTCCTCCGCCGCCGCCTGGCCCTCCGCCGCTGGGCCCACAACAGACCTTTCACTACGATGGGCACAGCAGTAGTCATCAACAGGGTGCCCAGACGCGCGTGACACAGCCAGAGCAACCTCACGATCCGTGGGCTGGACTGAATGCATGGAAATAATGGAAGAGAGGATTGGCAAAAAAGTTGAGCACTATTACAGAAAGGAAGTGCATGGGTGTGATTCATACTTGGAGTTGAGATGAGCGGTCAAATAGCATTTGCAGATAAATGTACTGTGTACCTTGGTGCTTTGATTTCAAAAAGACATATTTTTTTTTGTCACTCACACACACACTCTCCCTATGCCTCTCGCTCTCCCTCTGTCTCCCTCCCCCTTCTCTCCCCCCCTTTTAAAAGAGTTCGTGTCTAATGGGTAATGTTGGTGCATCGTCCTGCGCTTCCATGACTTTTGACAAGCCCTTGCACAAAACCCAACCGACCAGACGGGTGGATAGACACGGAGGTCCCCGCGCGTCGGGTTGGAGCCGGTACGGCAAGGCATTCTCGTCTTGGTGAGTGCCGAAGCTAGATTGAATATATCCACTCGCCATCCATTCAGCCGAAGTGCTCGCTGGCAATTTGTAATGTGGGATATGCGACATGGGACCGGTCCCGAGTTCCATATTTCCCCAGGATGCAATTGAGCCATTGCGTCGAACCAGCCAATAAAGTCCGTCGGGTAAACAAGCCTCTTCATGGTCTGAAGATTGTGGGGTGGCCTTGGCGTTCGTTGCAAGGTGGTTGGTTGGTTGTCTTCCGAGGTTGTCTCTGACCTCATCCATTTTATTTCCATCGGGTCGTACCACGCAAGGCATGCTTCTCTCTTTTTGCCAAGCATCTCATTCCTTTTGAACAGGCGAGAAGTAATTGAGCGTACTTGTATGTTCTGTGTTTATTTCAGGAAGCACCGGCGCAAATTGACAAGCAAACATACTTTACGGCGGTCAGACATTTGACCTCGGTGGCCACCATGGCGTTGAAAGGGAGCGATGTCGCTCAGCACAACGACGCCAACTCGTGCTGGGTCATCATTCACGTACGTCTTCGTTCGGAACGCTACGAAACAACACCACTGACTCTCCCCCACAGGGCAAAGCCTACGATGTGACGGACTTTCTGCCCGGTTGGTGAATCCATGCTCCGGCATCGCAGCCGCATACTAACAACGCCTTTCCTTTGTCAGAGCATCCGGGAGGCTCGAAGATCATATTGAAATATGCTGTACGCAACCTCTCCCAATTGATCAAGTGACTTCATGCGTCCTATCCAATGCACTACTAACAACGCCTCCATGTAGGGCAAAGATGCCACAGAGGAATTCGAGCCCATCCACCCGCCTGACACCCTCGATAAATACCTCGAACAGTCGAAGCATCTTGGTCCCGTGGACATGAGTACCGTTGCGAAAGAAGAAAAGGCACACGACCCCCATGAGGCTGCACGTCTAGAGCGTATCGAGCAGAAGCCGCACTTGTCGCAATGCTACAACCTGTTCGACTTTGAGGCTGTTGCGCGGAGAGTCATGAAGACAACTGCCTGGGGATACTACTCGAGTGCTGCAGACGATGAAATTGTACTAGGCCCATTTTCCAACTTCATCACTCCCCCAATCACGTATAAACGAACTTGGCTCCTAACGCGACCGACGCTCCTAGACCATGCGAGAAAACCACAGCGCCTTTCACCGAATCTGGTTCCGACCCCAAGTCCTCGTCGACGTCGAACATGTCGACTTCAGCACCACGATGCTCGGTACACGATGCTCAATCCCGTTCTACGTCACCGCCACGGCGCTCGGAAAACTGGGCCACCACGAAGGCGAAGTCATCCTCACTCGCGCGGCGCACAAACACGACGTCATCCAGATGATACCCACACTGGCATCGTGCTCGTTTGACGAAATTGTCGATGCCAGGCAGGGCGACCAAGTCCAGTGGCTCCAGCTGTACGTCAACAAGGACCGGGAAATCACCCGCAAGATCGTGCAGCACGCCGAGGCCCGCGGTTGCAAGGGCCTCTTCATCACCGTCGACGCGCCGCAGCTCGGCCGCCGCGAAAAGGACATGCGCACCAAGTTTACCGAGCAGGGGAGCAACGTCCAGTCCGGCCAGGACACGGACAACTCGCAGGGCGCGGCGCGCGCAATCTCCAGCTTCATCGACCCGTCGCTGAGCTGGAAGGACATCCCCTGGTTCAAGAGCATCACCAAAATGCCCATCATCCTCAAGGGCGTCCAGCGCGTCGAAGACGTCGTCCGCGCCATCGAGGTCCAAGCCGACGGCGTCGTCCTCTCCAACCACGGCGGCCGCCAACTCGACACGGCGCGCTCGGGCATTGAGATCCTCGCCGAAACCATGCCTGTTCTGCGCGCTCGCGGGCTGCAGGACAAGATCGAAATCTTCATCGACGGCGGCATCCGTCGCGCAACAGACATCATCAAGGCCTTGTGCCTGGGTGCACGGGGCGTCGGCATAGGACGCCCCTTCTTGTATGCCATGAGTGCCTATGGGCAGGACGGCGTCGAGAAGGCCATGCAACTGCTCAAGGACGAGATGGAGATGGGTATGCGCCTGATTGGCTGTGCCAGGGTGGAGGATCTGAACCCGAGCCTGGTTGACACAAGGGGGCTATTTGTACATTCGAATTCGACGCCTGCGGATGCCTTGTCACAGACCGTCTATGATCCGTTGGTTGTGCCGTCGCAGAGAGCCAAGGCCAAATTATAAGCTCGCGATTTGGTTGTTCGTTATGACGTTATCTAGACCCGAGATAGAGAAGAGACGCCGACTGTAGATTTGGCCGTCGTGTTGGGCGGTAGTATTATGTATAGCACTTGGTTCCAAAGTGGACTTCGACTCCAGCTCGTCTTTTTAGTGCTCAGTCGGACGATCCTCACCCGGTAGTCATGGTGACACGTTGAGTATGCGCAGTGAAAATGAATGGCGCTGTAGGGGACAGGCAACTTGCTCACTTGCCGGTTTGCGGCTCCACGAAACACGGGACCTGTTGTGCTTCTACATGCAATAAGAGATTTACATTCGTCGTGAATTACTCCATCGCCACGACATACGCCCCAATCGCCCATGCCGGAGCACCTACAACACGCTCAAAAACTCCTGCAACGAAATCGGCTTCCTGACCGCATTATTCAACCCTTCATGATACGTCACCCACACTTTTCTCTCTTCATGCTTACGTCTCCCATCACAGTTGCCATCCAATCCTGCCAACGGCTTCGATTCAATGACCCTCCCAAAGAAGTCCCTCATGACCACGACATCGGGCTTATCTTCCGATACAGCCTTGTTCTCCTTGTCGTCATGCACAGAAAGCGGCATATGGGTCTGGGAAGGAACTCCAGCCTGGAAACGAGCCTGGCGAGCATTGTTGTCCCGCAGCGCAATGGTTCGCCGCAGTTCCTGGTCGAGGACTTGCCTGACGGCATAGCGGGTTGGGGCTTGGGAGTGGAGGAGAGTCACGGCTGTTTCGAAAGTCGAGAGCGAGTCGACGTCACTGAAACCATGATATTAATTGACGAAATTCGGTGGTTATCCTTTTGGAAATGAATGACTTACGGTTCCATACGATAGACGTACTGGGGACCACGTCCACCCGTCATCTCGCCTTCGACTTTACCCTTGTGGAGACCAATTCCAACCTCGGCCAGGACTTCGCTAGCCCGCTGGACCATGACCTTTTCGCTCTCCTTGCGGACGCTCGCCATGGACCCCTGGCTGCCGCCTACCACGACGGGCTTCACATCCGGGGATACAAGGCGTATGAGGTAAGGTAGAAACTCGGTGGCCACGTCCTCTGCGCTGCGGAAAGACCGCATGAGCGTCGGACTGAGCTGTGATTGCAGACCTTGAAGCTGCGACCGATTCTGTTTCTCTGCCTCGCGGGCCTGGAAATCAGCTCGAGGACCGGAAAAAGGTACCGGAGGACCATTGTCTTCTTCTGTTTCCATCCCGCCCCGGCGTTTTTCGAAGCCATTGGCCACCGTGTAGTGCTTCTTGGGTGAGGCAAACAGGTGATGGCACGCCAAGATTGGTTGACTGAGATACGGCGCCAGTTCCCATTCCTGGCTCGCGTACAGACGTGATTGACAGGCGTCGTGGAAATGTAGCCAGTCATAAGCCTGGTTAGGTTTAGCGAGGTAGATGTCGTCGTTGAACTCGCGGCTCGGGTACTCGGCGAAGATTTCCGTCATGATGGTGCTGATTTCGCCGCTCGTTTCGACCATTTGGCCAAGGCGATCCATGGCGTATTTCTTTTGCTGCTCACCGAAGCCCAACTCAGCCTTTGGTTGCTCATGCAGTGTTTTGGATTCGGACAGGTCCATGGCCTGTTTGGGAAAGCCGCCGCCCTCTTGAAATAGGCGTTGGATAATATCTCGTACATTTCCTCGTCCGAGGCCCCTGGCTCCAGCAGCACCGCTTGACAAGTTGCGTAGGATGTTGTTTTCGATCCACGGGCGCGTAAGTCGCTGATTTACATGACTGAGAGAAGATCTGAACCGGCCTGCCACCCACTCACCCACGACCATGACACCGCGCAGGTCGCCTTCAACGGTGCTTTCCGCTCCTCGTTTGGCATCAATACCACTTGTCATGCCCCACGCTGCCTCGCACAATTTTCTTGCGGCGTCCTTGTCGCAAGGAATGCCCTCCTTCTCAAAGATATTTTTGACCCTGCCAACGACCGCATCAAGTGATGGTCGGCCAACGTGGACGATTTCTGCCAGATTCGACTGTCGTAGGGGCCGCAGAGACGGGTGATAGACATCATTGCAGATGAGAACCAGCGGCCGCATTTGACGAAAGTCATCCCCCTTTTTCTTTTTATGACTGTACTCAGACGTCGGCAGCGACGAGTTCCTCTGGTCCGTGAGAACCAAGTCAATCAATGCCTTTACGAATCCACCTTCCCCAGATGCACCAGCTCCAGACGTCACACCATCTACCTCATCCACAATCACACACACAGGCTTGGCGATTTTCTGTGAGCCATCGCTGGCTTTGTTGTTAGTGACATTTTTCACGCTTTCCGTGCCCAAGCTTGTCCGTATCCGATTCCTGACGACATCACGGCTGCGGTCATCACTGGCGTTGATCTCTAGGACCTCGTATCCCGCCTGTTTCGCGCAGACATGAGCCAAAGTCGTCTTTCCCAGGCCGGGTGGTCCAGTGAGCATCAATATTTTGCGATGGGGCTTCTCTTCCTCCAATTGATGCTTTGCACCGGGTCTTCTCACAATCACCGGCTTAGCCCTTGTCTGGCCGGGAAACACAACAGGGTCCCATCGCTTCAGCCATCGTAGTACTTGTCGATTGGTGCTGTCGTCGCCACACAAGTCCATAAAGTTTTGTGCACGATATTTCTCAGTCCATAGAAGGGTTTTCTTTGGTTTGTTACCCGAAATCGGGGTCTCAAGTGATGCTATTATCGCACCTCGTTCAGTGGGAACGGTTAAAGGATTGTTGGTCATTTCCTTCGCTGCCTTGTTTATCAAATCGTGAATTTCAATACCGTAGTAGCTTCGCTTTGCTCTGCCCTCTTTCGTTTTGGATCGCGCTGCTACCATTGTTTCGTATGACACTGCAGCAGACGCTTTTCGTTGCTTAATAGTTGCAGACTTGCCACAGCATGTTTTGGCGGTATACGTTGAAGGGGAAATGGTTTCAAAAATCAAACTAGAAAACAAAGAGGGTTTGGTTGACCAGTTTGGAGGTTCTCTTGAAGCCGGAATGTCAGTAATCTCGATAGAAGTCTGAGTCTCATCGCGCTTGTGAGTCTCCTCGTGTTGCATTGGAGGGACCATATCATCGTGTTCGGGAGGGTGTTGAAGCATGCGCCTCTTGGCTATGTGAGAATCATCCTGTGGTTCTTGGCTCTCGTCCTCTGAATCATCACCATCCAATACGAAGGGTCCGTCGACGCGGGGCTTTGGTTTCGTAGGTTCTTCATGAGGCGTTGGGCGCTTCGGAGCGGGCGAGCTCTTTGGAAAAGTAATGGGTGAAGATGCGGACAGCATGGTCAAGTGCTTTTCAGAATCAGAATCAGAAGCACTAATCAGCTGTCAGACAGGTCCCAAACGAGCCCTTTGCATTGACAAGGTTGTCAAGGTTGTCAAGGTTAGAAGTGAAAGCAGAGATTATGTGTGTAGTTATCTGCAACTGTTCTGCATGTAAGTCGAACGCGTTTCTGTTCGAGTGAGACGCGTTTAGTGGGACCCACTTTTTGACATTGACCGAGAGTTAGAACCAGTAATCCTGGCCAGTCCCGATTAGCTGACAAAGGCCGGACGTCGGACGGGATAATCCGCCGGGGTTAATTGACCTACGCCAAAAAATTGGACATTGTTCGAGTCTCGCTCCTGAAGCTCCTTCGGCGACGTCAATCTTGCTCGACAGCCATCATCAACAGGGCTGCATCGGTGAATATGCGCAAACCATACAGATTCTACAGTCTTAGTCGACCGGTAAGGATTTTTCCGATGCAATTATTCGACCCTTTGCGCTTGACCGAGCAACATTGTGTGAAGTGTACTTCCCGATCAGACCGTGATGGCTAACAGAATGTTGCCTGCTAGAAACTGCGTCAGTCATGGAACAAATACAACTTGTATAACCTATACCGAAATGCCGGGCGTGAACCCCAAATTCGAGGCACCCCGACTTTCTTCCAGCAGAAGTGGTCAGCCAAATCGAAAACCCGAGCCTACCACGGCGAGCATATTCCCGAGAAGAAATGGGTGCGCCTTTTCTCTCGCCGACTTCTTTCAGCCGTAGACTTGCCGCCGGAGTATTTAGCTGCTCATGATGGCTCTGAACAAGCTGCCGGTCGCGGTTCCGGCCTCACCACGTCCAATGTCACAGCAGAGTCGTTTTCTAGGGTCCCTAGGCCAAGCACATACGAGCGATCAAGACGGAGACCTCCTCCGTTTGGGGATGTGAACAAATTTCTATCTGACCAGTTCACAAGCATGACGCCCTACATGCAGATGACATTTGCGCCGTTGGAGCGAAGATTGGATACCGCAGTCTTCCGAGCGTTGTTTGCTAGCAGCGTGCGCCAGGCCCGCCAATTCGTCATTCATGGCGCTGTCAAGGTCAATGGCAAGAAAGTAAGAAGATTGCATTCCACTTGGCACAATTCGGTAGAAGTCCGGGACGCTAACGTACTTCCAGATGGTCCATCCATCATATCAGCTAAACCCAGGCGACATGTTCCAAGTAGACATTGACAAGGTCATGTACGGCACTGGACAGCAAAAGGCTACGCAAGGAAACAAGAGACTAGCAGAGAACCTGGATTCGAGAAAAAAGAAAGCCGATGCATTTTACCAAGCAGCTGTCGACAAGGCTGCCGCCAATGCTCGTACGGTTGCTTCAACAAGGGAAGCCACGGCCGAAGCGGAGAAGCCTGATGCTGAGGCCGTGCCAGCGGAGGAGACGGTTGAGGAGCAGCCTGAGAATGCGGGGGAAACAATCTCTGGACCAGGACTCGAGTCCCTTAGCCCTGAGGAGACTTGGAAGCTCAATAATCGAGCTCTGAAGTTTCTCCTGAAAGATGTCAAGAAGATTCTCAAGAACAACCCCAAGGACCTCTCTGCCAAGGAAAAGAAACAACTGCGCTTATTCCGAGCCGATGCCAAGCGCTTCCTATCGCACCCCGAAGATAGTGCCCTGGACGTGCAGGAGCTCATTGAGGAGCTCCAGCTGCA